CCAAAGATATGCAGATTCTGAAGCTCCGAAACTTGGCACAGAATATAGACCCCAATGAATGAAAATGCCAATTTTCGCGCCATCGTACCACTGAGGCAGGGGGCGGGTGTCCAAATCGTCCCAATCCGGCTTATAGGTTTTATTGTACAAAAACTTTGGTTCACTCGTCATGGTCACATTTAATAAAGCTTCAATTATATGGTCTTGTTTTGCGTAGGTAAAGCAAACCAAGACAGATAATATTAACACCTTCATTATCCTGTGGAAAAGTTAAGTCTAATTAAAGCAGTTTTTGTGGAATGGAAACTAAGGTAGGACTTCAAAATACCGACGTCGAACAGCGGATTGGGGAAAACTCCTCTTCCATGAACTTTAAAGTTGGACAATACATTAAAATGTTTGTTTTTATAAATAATATATGAAACATATAACAGTTATTTTAAAATTGCAATTTCATTTTAATTCAAATACGTTATTATCAAAAGTTATTCAAGTACGCGATGCCATGACCTTCTTCTTTTTTTTCAACGTCGAGATTTTTTTTTTATATCAAATAACGGGACGAATAAGTCCTGCGACTGGTGGTAAACTACACGACAGTTGCAGTGCCACTCAGAGCTTTAACTCGCAAAGAACTGAGGGACACTGCTACGGCGCCTTTCACCAGCACCCGTACCTACCCTTCATAACCGAAACGCAGTAATGCTCACATTACTGCTTGGCGGCAGTAATAGGTAAGGTGGCAGTAATTCCCTGGACGAACTCTTTTACAAGGAGCTCCACTACTACTAAAAATTAAGCGTATCGAAATAATAATATATTTACTGTACTCCAATAAATCATACTGAAGCTTTTGTATTTCTTTCTTAAACTAAATATATAACTTGGAATAACTTGACTGGAAAGTTTAATGCATTTTCTATAACATTTCGTGCTCTAAAAATAGCCGTTTCAGTAGCTTCTGAACTGAAGAAGTACGAAAATCCTTCTGGCCGTGTACATATTATCGAGTTTAATGTTCCAAGTATTGAGCATTTGGAATATTCTTTGGGCTGTTTGATACGAATGGTGAAAGTTTCGAGGTTTTGATTTCATTTTCTACTTTGGATACCTCGATGAAATTTTAACGGTAATAAAAGAGATTAACGAAGGCGAAATATGGAACTTGAGAGAATCGGTTGGAATCGTATCGTATTAATTTTACAAGTGGAATATTGAAGATTATTTCATTTTAATTATGTATTTTAATTATCACACTTCAGTACCACACGAGAAAAAAAAATTTTACCTCATTTGCAGATCCAATAAAAAAATATTTTTTCCTGCACTTCCTGAGGAACTAAACCAAACTGCCAAAAGAAATAACTCCTTATGCTTTTTATTGCACAAAACGGGCTTATTTATTTACTTTATTGATACAGATATCATTACGTAGTTGGTAAATCCCGATGTGGTTATCTGTCCGCAAAGCACTGACAAAGCATTTATTCCATACTGGGTATAATTTTTTAAGATATCTGAGAGCAAAGATCTCAGCTGCCACTGCGTCCATCACCTTGAGACAGAGCTGGCATCTGTCCCATATTCCAGTAAATTTATCAGAACCCTTTCCTTTCAAACTCGGAACGCCATAACGCTCACTACCTGAATACTTTCCTGGACGAGCTTTTCACACTGAGCTTAGTGTTACTAAAAACTGCTACTAAATCTACATGATTTGAGTACAATACAAATAATATATCGAGTTGTTAGGTTTTCGAGATTGTTACACATTGGAAATAAAACATTTTTTTCGGATCTAAATCGCGTATATTTTTTTCTTGAAGCAAACTAACGTTACGAACGCTTGACAGGTCCCATAGTCACGTCAGATTGGGATGGTAAAGTCATCAATTATCTACATAATTTCCAATATAGATAATATGTAATTTCATTCAAACACCAAGCCGATCTTTGCCTTCGGTAAGTCCAAGACTCCGATAAAGGTGGCGATCCAGCGATAATCGTCGGACAGAACAGTCAGGCGTTTTGTAAGGGAAATTAGATGACACAAGGCTTAAAATTATTCGAGACAATATTCATGCCTTACGATTGTTCACTATTAAGTAATTATCTCATTCCTGAAATACTCCTAATCCCGTGATTAATCACGATACGATGATGTTATGAATTACGAATTTACATTTTGATAGTTTTAACTTGAAATATCCGTGTTTTCCTTACAAACTGGGTTACAAAATGGACGGTTACTCGGTTTTTTCGGTTACAGCGTTCCGGTTTTGAAGGATGTGGGTGTTGGTGAAACTACAGACACGTGGGACTCGTCAGCTTTATGTCTTAGGGTGAGTAGCGCAGTGGCAGTTAGCGATTTAAAGCTTTAAGTGACACTGCAATTGTTATGGCGCCTAGCTATCACCTGTCGCTTACCACCAGGCGCACAACTTATTCATCACTTTGTATCACAAATAAAATAATAAATAAATAATCAGTTTGCATGCCCGATTCGGAAATGTGCAAGGATAGCTAGGACGATATCATGGTCAACATCATTGAAGGCGTTACAAAAATAGATGATTATTAATACTGTTAACCGTGAATTCTTTATACCCTCCCTAATGTCTTTTGTCACTTTCGTACTGTGACCAGGCCAAAATCCATGTTGGTATCTACTGGTCGAAGACGTTGTTTCTAAAAGAGAAAGATGATAAGTTGGCGATAAACAACTGCTTCAAGAATTATCTAAAGGAAGGTTAGTTAGGTATAGGGATTGGCCAAAAGTGTTTGAAGGTTGTGGGGTATGAACACACTTCTCCGGTAGACTGGTTGAAAATGCCAAACGACATTTTTTTTATAATATCATGTGATGGGACGAACAAGTCGTGCGCCTGATGGTAAGCTACACGCCTGTCCATAACTGTTGCTGCGCCACTCAGAGCTTTAAATCTCAAAGATCTGAGGGGCACTGCCACTGCGCCCGTCACCCTGACACATAAAGTTGACAAGGCCCATGTGCCAGTAATTTCACCAGCACCCCTTACCCTTCTGAACCGGAACGCAGTAATGCTCCTAGTGGTAGAAATAGGTAAGATGGCTGTACTTCCTTGGGCGAACTCTTTCACAAGGAGCTGTACTGCTATTAAAATCGTTAATAGCAGTAGAAACCTTAGTATCAGGCTCATAACTTAGACGTGGTACCTATCATAAAAAAGTTGTCTCTATTGAGATACGATAAACAGTGAGTATATTTTATTATTATAGTCTATCGAGTACCCAATGGTTTTGTTGCGTACAATAGAAACGTTTATGAGGTAGGTACAAATTCTGAAGCCAATTAATGTTTAATATTTGTATATACAATTAATATAATAACAATCATATTATAAATGAAATCATTCCTAACTGCACTTTCCTTTAGATGAGATGGAGGACAAAAGCTTAATTTTTCATTACATTATAAACGAGGAGTATAGCATAAAATAGTAGTTTAAACTGTAACAACAAGGTAATAGAGGACAATAAAACATAAAGTGAAAAAGAGCAATTTATGTTGTGCACTGAAAGATTATATATTCATAAGATTTGCAAATCATAACATCGTCCAATCATTTGATTAGAGCCATTACTCTCTCACTGCTTATTGACTATTGGATGCTTTTGCTTGTTCGCTCGTCGCAATCGCAACAGCAGAATAGCAATATAATAACAGCAGTTTAGACAGAGGTTCGATAGTAAGTTATTCATAATAGCGTAAGAATAATGCGCTATGTGCTATTGTAATAATGACTATTTTTAATAAGAGCAGATCTTAGCCTGGCGATATAAACGCACGTTTAAGAAACACATCAGCGATTTATAAGCCATTGCATATCGATGCAAACACGCTTTTGCGTCGACGTAATCGCTTATGTTGAATCATTAAAAACTTGCGGCTGATTTTATGCAAACGCGCTGTTGAATCTATGCTTACGCAAATTTGAATCGACGAGCACACGCGTGTGCATCGCGATACAATGGCGGCCACAAGCGGGCGTATCTTCAACACCATAAAAAAGTTATAATAATTTATTTTTAAATATGACGGACCCATCGAGTATATGACCAGAAATAGAGACGAAATAAAGACCATATATTCCTGGTAACACATTGGCGATACAGCTCTTATAAATATCAACTCTCGTTTGCACTGAAATATATACTGGCCAACTACTCACCTGTGTGTACGTCTCCATATATTCCAAAACATATTATGTATTTATTGTAATAAAGATAATATCTCTAACAATGCCGTGCTGTTTTATTCGGTGGTGTGGGAAAAACAGCAAAACATCTAGTTACAAAACAAACGTAATCAAATTTCATCGGTAATTAAATATTAAATATGTAATTTTGCAATTTTCGTCCATTATAGCAAAGCTCAAGTTAACTGGTCAATTTGAAGTGACATAATTGACGACACCCGTCAATTGTTTCGAACTCGGGCTAGCCAATCGGAGCGCAGTTGTCACAGTAATGATATGGCAGAAGAGTTTTCAAACAAATTAAATGACATTTCGTCTCTATTTCTGGTTATATACTAGAAGGACGGACCCAATATTTAAAATCTACGGCGTTGCGGCTATGTCGCGTTTGCATCGCGATCGTATGACAGCGGCTGCGACTGTATGGCGTTTGCATCGCGTTCGTATCGATGATTAAGTCGCGCGTGTACGTAAAGGTAGACGATTAGCGACTGTATCGCTACCGCATCGCGACTGAATCACTGCAGACGTGCTACAAAAAGTCGTCTTGTATAACCTCTTTAAGAAGCGGAGCGTGGACACTTTCATTGTGACTATGTCATTCAGCGAATCTTGTAAGCATTCTTGAATGTTTATTTCATTTATTTGGATCATTTGCAGATAGCTTCAACACCCCGGTGCGCTTGTCTTTGTATTTGGTCGGGAGTTCGAATATAACAATTTCATCCAAAATTGCGTACTGCAAATAAAAAGAAGCTAATAAGTTATTTTTGCCAAATATGATATTTTAATAGCAGTAGAACTCCTTGCGAAAGTGTTCTACAAGAGACGCATTGCTACTGTACTTATATTTGCCGCCAAGCAGTATTGTACCCGTTCATGTGACGGTACCTACAACAGTTTACTGACCGGACCCAAATTTCAAAAGGCCATACTACAGCGCAGACTTTTCCTTAATTAAACACTTAAAAAATATTATATATACACACGTACATGTGAATATAATTAGATTGAAATAATTTAGTAATTACAAGATAAATTCTGAATCCAGACACCAACGCCGTTTCGTTATCAAGGGAATCATACTCTACAGCATTCTCTCATTGGGAACACCTTTAGCCGACTGTTAGTGAGAAAATTCATTCCTACGTACATTGCATGACGCGCACTTTTTCCGTTTCTTATTCGTCTGTTACCTTAAGTACCACGGTGATAGGTCTCTTGTACCTACTATCTATATTATTATTATATTATGTACTTTTTTAATTAAGTCTAGGCAGTTAATGACAAAATTATGGTTGTCTGTAGTGGGTTTACATATAGATATAGCTTTCCCTTACCGATTTCACAATTCGACAGCTAGTTATAATTACTAGACGCTACTACAAATAAAAAAAGATTATTAGTACATTTATTTAACTGCCGCAAAAGCACATTAAAAAAATACGGAAAACTTTTAAAATAAATAATAAATCATATTATAAAAAAAGAAATAAAATAAATATTTACAAAACAACATCACAAACAAAACAAAAATAAAATTATTTACAAAAACAAAGACACTAGCGCCCAGTTACACGAGGCGAAAGTTTTTGCGCGGCGGCTGCACAGCGATAGGCCAGTTAGCACAGCTTCATGTACATTAATGGCGAATCTACATTCTATATACTAGGCAACAAATGTCGCGTAGACCAAATTCAAGCCAGTCTCGCCGTTTAAGTTAAAACGTAAAAGCTAAACAAATAGAGCGTATTTTGCCATGACAGACGCACGCGGTCTATGTGCGGCGGCCGCACAGCGATAGCCACGTTAGCACACCTTCATGTACATTAATGGCGACTCTGCATTCTATTTACTAGGCAACAAATGTCGCGTAGATCAAATTCAAGCCAGTCTCGCCGTTTAAGTTAAAACGTAAAAGCTAAACAAATAGAGCGTATTTTGCCATGACAGACGCACGCGGTCGCTGTGCGGCGGCCGCACAGCGATAGCCCCGTTAGCACACCTTCATGTACATTAATGGCGAATCTGCATTCTATTTACTAGGCAACAAATGTCGCGTAAACCAAATTCAAGCCAGTCTCGTCTTTAAGTTAAAACGTAAAAGCTAAACAAATAGAGCGTATTTTGCCATGACAGACGCACGCGGTCGCTGTGCGGCGGCAGCGCGGCGTGGGGTAGCGCGATGAAATTCGTGTTGAATGAATGCGTCCTTAAAAGTATAAAGATATACTTTTGTGAGACACTATTATACAATAATACTTTAATTAGCTTTTTTTATTACTTTATCTTTCCTAAATTGTTCAACCTGTATGTGAACAAACTCATTCAAGAGCACAGTGACAAACGTGTCGATTGTTCGATTGCCGGGCTCTACGTAAATAATATCAGCTACGCAGAAGACATGGTGCTGTTGGGTCCCACAACGCTGGGTCGGTTAGACGGTCTTTCGGTCGGTTCTTTTTACGATGTTAAGAGACGACATAACAGACGAAACAAGTCGTGCACCTGGTGGTAAGCAACACGCCTGTCCATAGCATTTGCAGTGCCACTCAGAGCCTTAAATATGCTAGTAGCTACGGTTTAGTTAAGTTATATATAAAAGCGAATATAAATGACCTTTGATGTCAGCGGCCTGAAAATGGCCTATGCACGGAGAATTGACCTGAATGGGTTACTTTTAAGAGAGTAGATATTGTTAAATAAGTACGAGCAGGCAGATATTGTCGTCATTGCATATAAGATTCCAAAGACCAAGCAGATATTGAGTCAAGTAACATGTTACTTAGCTCTACAATACCCTCACGTTTCATTCACGAATATAATAATATCTGTGAAGACATATATATCTATAAGTATTATAGTTATAGTATACACATATATAAGTACGAGTAGGTCAAATAAAGCCTCTATGAATGTCATATTAAATGTAAGTGAGCGTTTAACGTTAAAATTTTGGATATTTCTAGTTTTATTTTTAATAAGATATTGATGTCGTTTTACTAATTAGGTAACGTACTTTCGACATCAGTTTAAGGGTTTTTTGTATCATTGTAACATATCTTACATTTACGGAATAATCGCCTGGGCACATTTAAAATTACACCCTGTATATGTGTCGTACTTTTAAAAGCTGTTAGAGCGATAGTCCGTTAGTTTAAAAACTATTAAGTTATGCAACTTACTTCTACGAATTCATAACGTGTAGGTAGCAAAATTTGAATAACGTTAAGGCTTTCATTCTTTATAAAAAACGTCAAATCTCTTAATCTCAATTTGTCATCGACGGGCCATTTCAAGAATATAGCATATACGGCTTTTATATGATCTGTGTCGTCTGGCAACGCTATGGGACTCAATGGGTGGTATTCAGTCTTTATGCAAGTGTACCAAACATCTACATTGAATGTGTCTCTATGGTAATACCACGGCGAGGACCCGTAAATTGCTTCGCCATACATTTCTAGCCATTTTCCTAAACGCAGAAGTCGCTCTTTGAATATGGACGGTATAGTTCCCTGCTTAGTCGGTCCAATGTTAATAAGAGCGTTACCTAAAACAAAAAAAATTAATATAATACGGTTATGATCAACTTTTTAAGGAAAGTGTGTCTTTAAATTTGAAGTAACTTTTTGTTTTTAAACATAATGTTTATGGTGATTAGTTTACTTCATAGATATAATTCTCAGGAAAGATTTTGCTGTATGCATAAAAAAGTTAGTATAATTATGTCTGTGACACTCACCGATAATGAACACCCAGTAACTGACACTAATAACAAACATGTATGTTAGAAAATTTTGTCCTAAATCTTATAAGAAATTAATTTTAAAAAGATGTCGAACAGTTGTGATTGTCGGCCATTGGTGCCATCACCTTACGTGTATTTAATTTATTGTATAAAATAAATTTACTTTTTTACAAAACTGAGTAAAGTTTTCTAAAAAAATAAATTAATTTGTTTTGCAAAACTTTACATTTAAACTCATTCAATGTAATTACGTTGAATAATTATTGTCCCAAAAATATTTTTTTTTTCCAACTAATGCCTATATTTACCTTTCCAAATAAATACTTTAATCTAATATGGCGACAAAATTAGGAAAGGGGGAAGGCAAGAATTTGTGGTAGTTCGAATTACCGCTATGACTTTTGAATATGTGGCTTTATTCTACCAAGTGTTCAAAATGTGAAATTCCAATCACGAATTCCACAAGTCCTCATATAATATACGGAGAAAAATACCTAAGTAGGCACGCCCGACAAACGTCCATTTTGAGAAACCATGTTCGTTGCATCTAAACAATACGGTCAACAAATCGGTTGATATATGTTTGATAATTAATCTTATCTCACCTGCACAGCTGACAGTGGAAACAACCGACTCCAGCAATTCGTGATCGCTTAAAATATCAGCACCTTTGTTCGTGTCTTTTCGATAACCCCAAGAATACTTATCTAAGGAAAAAGCATTTTCCCATTTATGATTTATGGACGAGTAGTCTCCTGGAATTAGGGATCAATATTACGATTCAATGTTTATGGAATCGATTCAATTGCATACGATCCATTGTTTTTTGGATCGATTCACTTCAATGCGATTTTTAAGCGAATCGATTCAAAATATAGGCGAATCGAATCGTCTAGCAAGATCGTATTTATAATTTAAACAAAAATCTCATCTTATTAATTATTTCGTCAAGTACAGGAACGGAAAATAAAGAGAAGGACAATGCTTTGGATATTAAGTTATGCGACAGTATAATTGAAAAGTTTAGTTAGATGTAAAGGATTGGCATCTGTGAAAAGCTACAAAAATATTTATGTATTATTATGGCAATTAAATCACGTAATAAAGGCATTGACAATAAAGGTGTTTTATTTATTATGAATTTTGACACGATTTTTTAAAACTCGATTCAAGAGCATACGATGCGATCTGTGGATCGATTCATATGCTCTTCTATTCTATGCTCTGAAGCATATAATCCAATACGAACCAAAAAAATCGATTCACAGCAAAAATCGTGCATAAAATATAATGAAATAAAATATAATGTTACTTATAATTATTAATACAAAGATCACTCAGAAAAAACACTCAGAAAAAATTCCTTCGATCCGGTCGGATTCAAACCGACGTCTTCTTGCATACCGTGTCAGACGCTATACCAACTAAGCCACGGAACGAACCAACGGACCTCACGAATTTTTCTATGTGCTTGCGTCGTGTCTTTGTACTTGGTCTTTCAACGACTTTTTAGTCGTAGCGCCATCTACGAGAAATCTATTACAGATTTATCACCCAGTTAGTACCTTTACAGCTACCAGTCCTGGCGAGAGATGTCGCTATTCACTGTATTAATTAAATTTTTATTGAATTGATATTCAATTATTTTTTGTGAAATTACTCCACTAGTTTGTTATAATTATTAATACAAAGATCGAACACTCAGAAAAAACACTCAGAAAAAATTCCTTCGATCCGGTCGGATTCGAACCGACGTCTTCTTGCATGCCGTGCCAGACGCTATACCAACTAAGCCACGGAACGAACCAACGGACCTCACGAATTTTTCTATGTGCTTGCGTCGTGTCTTTGTACTTGGTCTTTCAACGACTTTTTAGTCGTAGCGCCGTCTACGAGAAATCTATTACAGATTTATCACCCAGTTAGTACCTTTACAGCTACCAGTCCAGGCGAGAGATGTCGCTATTCACTGTATTAATTAAATTTTTATTGAATTGAAAATAAAAAAAATGTTGTAGTTGGTATAGCGTCTGGCACGGTATGCAAGAAGACGTCGGTTCGAATCCGACCGGATCGAAGGAATTTTTTCTGAGTGTTCGATCTTTGTGTTAATAATTATAACAAACTAGTGGAGTAATTTCACAAAAAATAATTGAATATCAATTCAATAAAAATTTAATTAATATAATGTTACTGTTGTAAACAATATCATGAGCCCTCGTTGGCTATTAGAAGAAAAAATTGAAATAATTTTAATCCGTCCGCCTCCTGGAGCCACATGGATGAAAACACAAGACGCAGTTGTGTCCACCATTTCAAAAAGTGAAATAAGTACTAACACACAATTTGTAACTTAAGTCGTACATACAAAACACTAAATAGGTAACGGATGAAATGTCTTACTGGGATTGAATCTGTCCGCACAATTATAGAAGTCTCCATGTTTACAGTTTGTGTCCGCGCCCCATCTATCATTGACTACAATTTCATGTTTAACAGGGCTTTCATTGTAGAGCCAGGCTAACAGTTCTGGTGACTTCCAGTAAGCATCACTTGCATCTGATTCTCCGTCGCTCCACAGCACTGACGGTTTGTAATTTTCAACCAAGTATTTAATGTCTGGCCAAACTATTTCATCGGTGTACTTGGTAGTTTTGTAACCACTTATTTTGTCATTCAAGAATAGTTTATTAAACCATTCGTATAAGGAGTAATAGACACCAAATTTCATGTTGTGTTTTCTTACTGCCTTTGAAAGAAGTTTCACGATGTCTTTTTTTGGTCCTTCGTCCACTGAATTCCAATAAGGACGTTTAGATGGAAACAAGGTAAATCCGTCGTGATGCTTGGTAGTGAGAACGACGTATCTAAAATTTACAATGTAATGCTTTACAAATTCGTTACAGCAACAAGTTGATGTAAATTCCTTTAAAGCTGTTATGAATTATGAACGTGTTAATAATTAGAGGTTGAAACAAACAAAGTATACCTGAACTACGAGAAAGTTAGCAAGTAGTTCTCGAAGTTCACGACATAATGGGAACGCGCCCTTATTATGCTATGCTACAGCATAGAATATGAATACGCATGCCCCTGTTTGAAGATTAGTAGATACAGTCTTGAATGAGACCTGCTGGATCATAACAGGTTGTCTTAGCCGACCTCGGTAAGATTGCGGTATCCACTTGCTGGCATAACTTTGTCAGACACTCTCGAAGCAAGAACGACGAACGATGACCTACAGATTTGATTTCGATCGGGGCTAGAACTAAGAATGTATGACAACGCGATTTAACAGTTTCGAACGTTTATTGTCCGTGGTCCAACTGCGTAGTCCGACTAGTTCGACCAGGGGCACAAAACTTTGCCCTTGGTCCAACTAGTTGGACTACGGGCAATATTGTATGGGCATTGGACCTACTCATCGGTTAGTACAGTCACCGTCAATATTAATAATGTTACTGGTTCTGAGCTAACTACAATTGTTGTCTAGGATGATCCCTGTGACAGTTCGTAAAAAATCGCAAGATATAATCTTGTAATAATGTGCACTGTTTAATGTATTTTCACTTAAAAGCGATACTTACAAAAATAATTCATAAAATATATTAAACAGTGCACATTATCACAAGATTATATCTTGCGATTTTTTATGAACTGTCACAGGGATCGTCCTAGAGAACAATTGTATCAGAATCAGTAACATTATTAATGTTGACGGTGACTGTACTAACTGATCAGTAGGTCCAATGCCATACAATATTGCCCATAGTCCAACTAGTTGCGACTATGCAGTTGGACCACGGGCAATAAGCCGTGACGTGACCCGTCTTGTCGTTGACGGACTTCGAGTAGTTCCATATGTCATCTGTAGTGGAAAAACGGCCGTAACTATGGATTTCGTGCTTCGAGAATACGGCCTCTGTAGCGGGATCTTGCGAAATAGCCAAGATGGCGATCCGAGACTCGACACCCTATTCGTGATCACTTCACAGTGCAGAGCTTTTTAATCACACTCCAGCTCAAATTGTGAACTCCAAATTATTCAACTGCCCGTAAATTGTGTTAATGATCATTATTTATTGTTTATCTAATGTAATTCGAGCAAGGATGTCATAAATATAAACAGGTGGCATGAAGAAAGTGTTCAAAACAGTTACTTGTATATGGCGCATGCCACTGCTTTTAGATAATAAAGCAGTATTGCGGAATACTACGATTGTGAACTGAACATAAAGCGACGTAATGTAACGTGTTTGACGTAAGAAGATGGGTGCTTTATTCAGGATAAAGTTTCTTCTGCTCTGCTTGTCGCTATATGCGTAGTTCAAAATCACGGTATACTGCTATACTGCGTTATTATATGTATAGAGGGAACGACATGACACATTGTTATTTATATGAAATAGCATATTTTTTTACATACTTTACGTAACATTTTTCACTTTAACATTTTACGCACTAGGAAAACCTTGTGTCGGGGGTGCCCTGGTAAGACAAATAAATGTAGGCCATACAAATATTTCTCGGCCCGGGAATCGAACCCTGGACCTCTGCGTTGTAGACCTGCATGGTAACCGTTCGGCCACAGAAGCAGTTAAATTGAAAATGTAATTAAATGAAAATGTAATAGATTGGTAGAATAAAATGGACTAGATAATTCGAAAACGCTTTGTTTTGCGAAACTCACTTATTTCAAGAGAACTGAAGTTGTGTAAATTTCTACAGGATTTGATAAATATAAATTGTTGGTAAATTTAATTTATGTAGAAGCAAAACACTGGTATAAAACGATTCTCTCTTTCTTATAATTGAAAAGAGAAGTACGCGTTATTTTGTAAAGTTTTAGTTCTGCTTTAAATTATTATTTTTTATAATACTAAGTGACGTGGTGAGCAAGTCGTGCGCCTATCGCGACACACCTATCCATAACAGTTGCGGTGCCTCTCAAAGCTATAAGTCGCAAAGATCTTAGGGGCAGCTACTGCGCCCGTCACTCTAACACATAAGTTGACAAGTCCCATGTGCCTGTAAGTTCACCAGCATCTTTACCCTTCAAAACCGGAACGCAATAATGCTCACATTATTGCTTGGCGGTAGAAATAAGTAAGGTGGCAGTACCTATTTCCCTGGACGAACTCATTCACAAGGCGCTTTACTGCCACTTACTATAATTTTAACATTGTCAATGAAGAAAGCGAACAGATACAAACTTAGCTCCGGATTTCGCAAAAAGTTTTGCCCATTTATCGGGATTAAAAGATTTAGCTGTGAATAATGGTGCCAAATCTTCATAAGCGAAATTAGGACCATATTTCTTCCTCAGAATGCTGACAGTTTCCGCATCACCTAAAAAGATATGAAGTGTGCTATAAGCAACGACTAAGGCTCTAAATTTATTTAGGGAGATAGCGGGCATTTATGTAAAACACCCTTATAACTTTGAAATGATGGACCGACTAAATCTAGTTTGTTGCGACTAGAACTAAATGACGATTTACCCAACTAATCAAATTTCAAAAACTCGACCATGGTCACTCAGGAAAAAGGGACGCGGCTACTGCCGCCTTCAACAATACAAGTTTATGTAAAGCCACATTAAAAAATCAGCAGGCAAACGAAGGCGACCTAATGACCTAGTATGACCGGTCCATAATCAGTTTGAACAATTTGACACAAGTACGTATTTGAATAATGTAAAGAACTAAACGGGTAATCACTACAGTGCCACATAAGAACTCTGAGTTAATATAATAGATGATGATCTCGGTGGCACAATGGTTTGTACTGTGGGTGCTGGGTGAGGAGGTTCAATTCCTGGTGAGAATTTTTGAAATAAAACTTTTCTGAATTGTTTCTGATGTGGATATTCTGGTAGTGTCCCGGAATGAACTCCGTTGCTCTGGCACTCACAATATAGGGATTCCCTGGCTTGAAACCAGTTAATTGGTGTGGTTGTTTGTTCATACTAATGTATGAATGGTTGCTATTCAAAGTACATCGACGATAGAGCAAGAACTTGTTAAAGATTTCGTTGAACTGAGCTAATGCTGCTATGAAAAGCAAGACATTGTCGAAAAAATACTCACCACCTTCCATGTTAGCCCAGAGCCATTCGTTTTTACCTGCCACAGAGTATATTCCCCAATGTATGAAAATCCCAATTTTAGCCGCATCGTACCATTGGGGCAAGGGTCGAGTATCCAGATCTTCCCATTTTGACAAATAAGCACTTGTAACATTTGTTTTAGGTATATTATCAGAATTTCCAGTAGGTTTGCAAATGACACATTCAAACAAAATAGTTAAAAGTAATCTTCTCATAACTGATGATATTTCGTCGTTACTGCAAAAATAGACATAAAATTAAGCTCAACGACATTTATTCACAAATTTTCCCTTTGTTTTCAAATAACCTCTTAAAATTACTTCTAATTATATTTTGGGTGGTATGTAGCAATCGCAACAATGGTACAATGGTTATTTATAAAATCAATATGTTTCATTGTTACCTGCTAGCTAATTGATATTTATGTTGCTTATAGCAACATTACGCGCCTAACTATTGAGACAATGACACTTATTTAGCATTTTCAAGTAATAGCTCCCACCCTTGCTACCACAAGACCACACCTGCAAAATGACAACTCTTTAGGAAAGAGGTGCAATTAACGAAATTAGTTGATAACTTGCTATGCTATAAAATTTCACATAATATGTGTAAAAAAAATTCACACAATATTAAATTAAATGAAATATAAGAAAGAAATGAGAGAAAATTGCACAAGCAAAAGCACAAATATCATTTACTTATTTGCTTTATATAGTGTGGGTACATTGTAAATGTTCGTGGTAAAATTAGATTGGAGCACTGGAGAACTTAAGCCTTAGCCTTAAATAAGAACATTATTATTCTACCCGATTAATGTAATGTATATTTGCAAAAATACAATACGTTAAGAAATTGATTGAACTAAAACAAGATAATGTCATTATTTAAAAATTAATATAATATGCATCGATTAGGGATCAATCACCTTTATATTTATTTACGTCTACACCTTTTTTTTTTAAATTTATGTACATACACCTTTATTCGAAAAAAATCATCATTCGAGTAGAATAAACTTTCTAAAAGCCAAATACCCAAATCCCTTTTAAATCTAGCTAAAGGAAAGAATTTAAATCAATCCGGTATTTCGTCAAAAACTTTTCCACTTATAGTTACTTTGGAAACGTTTTGTCTTAGAGCGCGTGTACATGCTAAGAAATTCGACGTGTCTGCTACAGAAAAGATGAGAAAGGTCTTGTACACGACAAGAATTTTGTCAGATCTAGCCATGAAAATATGTCGTGTCTTTTGCAGACGAGAATATGTTGAGCATGATACAAATGCTTTCGGACAGACGTGTGTAGGGTAAAATGTGTCAGTGCATTAAGAGTCTTCCAGTTAGCTGTCGTTTTACAACCCACTGTGGGAAGAAATATGTTGTTGCATATGTTGACTACTAACCAATGCGCGTGGATGGGTCCACGCGCATAAACGTTCGTTTACTGATAATGCACCTCACCAACACCTCATACAATAGCAGCAGAGGGCGTCGGGTTCGCGTGTAAAAACGACACGATTTCTTGCATAGACCCGGCGACTTTTTTTAGCATGGATACTCGCCCTTAAGGTTTATGTCTTGTATCACTTTGTTTGCGTTTCTTAGGCTTCTAGCAGTTACATTTTTCGCTAGTACAAATTTTTGTTGATTTACCCTTACACATATACCAGTTTCGAATATAAATATATAGTAGTAAATTTACAGGGCCAGTGTAACATTCAGAGTAATATAAGCCATAAATGTAGATAGATAGATAGATTAATAAGTTATTATAAAACGTGTTCAAAACGAAATAAGACAAAAATAAATTACGTGCATTGTTGTCGTTTCATTTTGTTATTTTTCACTTTTTAGTGTAGTGATTGTTGTGGTTTTTGAGATGGTTGAATTACTTTTAAAAAAAGTTTGTTTATTTTAACTATTTTAGTAAATATAGTCAGGTAAGTAGTGTAGTGTTTAGTTAAGTCTATATACTAAACATTAGACGGTAATGCACTTTGTGATTTAGAACCAAATAAATTACTTAAGTAACCACATGGTGAAAAGGCATTACGAGAAATGGAAAGGTTAAGACGATTTTCTTAATCGCCGACCATATGACGAAAAGGCATTACGAGAATTGGGGTGTTCTCGTCCAGTTATATCATTAGGAGAAATTGAAAGATGAAGGCATCCACGTCTAACCGCAAACTTTTCATTTTTAACAGTTTAAGATACACAATGTACGTATATGCCTATAAAATTTGAGGATTTGCCTCAATTTCTATGGGATCTTATCAAATTCCGTCTTGGTGACGATGGGGGTACCTCGGCAGCGTGCCCTATCAAACAAAAAATAATTTTCAAATTCAGTCCGTAATTGTTGGAGAAATCGGTGAACACGCTGTTCATCCATACATAATTTGAGTATTTCGCTCGATTTCCATGGGATTCCCTCATCAGATTTTACTCGGTCACAAAGGGACTCGAGAGTATATATATATATATATATATATATATTAACTAAGTTCAGCAAGAAAGTGCGCTATCAACCTTTTCTTAAAGGAAGCGATCGACGGACTAGATTGGATGTGAGAAGGGAGTCTGTTCCACAACTGCGCTGCTCGAGAAGAAAAAGAGTTAAAAAAGAAATTTGTATTGCAGCTGGGACGAACGAGCATCTTAGTGGTGTAAGGACGTCTTGAGCGAATGGGAGTATTATCCTTTCAAACTAAAAACAGAATTTTCAAAATCGGTCCACAATTGACAAAGAAACCGGTGACTACACAGTACATACCTATACAATTTGAGGATTTGGCTCGATTTCCAAGGGATCTCCTCATCAGATTCTGACTTGATGACTATGGGACCATCTTGAGAATGCACCCTTTCAAACAAAAAAGAATTTTCAAAATCGGTCCACAAGTGACGGAGAAATCGGACAACATACATAAAATGTAAGTACATATAGCCGAACGTGTTACCTCCTTCTTTTTTTAAGTCGATTTATTATGATACAAACTAGTTTTAAGTACAATTTGCTATACCCTGCCAAATTTACTTGTATTAACTGTTTAAATTATGGTTGCAATGAATGATTACTGTATTCTATTCTATTTTAAGTAATTTAAAATAGGGGCGACTTGATACATCTGGTGCCAAATTACAGATAGATCGGATACACCTCGTCTGTGCTATAAAAACTTTCCTGAAGTCAGTAACGTTGACTCAAATGATAATACTGTATCTTAGTACAGATTCTACATATACATAATAAGCTGTCAAGGCTTTGTCCTTATTCGCTACCCTTGTCAACTTGTAGAGCAAAACCAAATTTATTTATTTACGTGTACAGTGAGCATAAATTTTAACTAAATTTAAGCAACACTTTGCATGCCTAGTCAGGTAAAACATGTGTTCTGTAATAGTTGTTCCATCTTTCACGCCATGTATTAAGCAAACAAAATTTCATTTCATTTCATTTCATCCTCTTAAGAACGTTTAAAAAATATTAGTCGTTTAGTAGTAATTCTAAAAAACTGTAGAAACCCATTGATCTACCAAATAGGGCAATGTAGAAACCAGTCTTTCTTTTTGTGAAAAGATAACACAAAAGATAAATAACTAATGTATGCTCACTCAGTTCTCTCAGAGGGCTAGTCAGATCTACAAAAGTACTAAGTTTGCTTGTAATATTATTTACTACTAGTTTTTATCAGTAGTAGTTTTGTTAAACTATCGTTTTTAAACGATTAGCGCCTTTTTAAAATTGTTATAAAATACTTTCTTATACTTTCAAAAGGAACGATTTCCTAAAAACCAAATAACAGAATTAAATTTCGTATATGTCTAGATTTAGTAAAAGTTAGAAATGATTTTCTAAAATATGAATGAAACCACTAATGTGTGTTGGCTTTGAATAATATTTTTTTTAAAGTGCTCACTCACACTTAACATTTTTGAAAATATCTGTATGTATAATAAAACTTAAACAAGCTAATTAAATATTAATACAAAGATCGAACACTCAGAAAAAACACTTAGAAAATATTCCTTCGATCCGGTCGGATTCGAATCGACGTCTTCTTGCATACCGTGCCAGAAGTTCTGGCACGGTAAGGTTATCTTTAATTGTAGATGTTTATGACCTAAAAGTGGGGAATTTCATTGAATAAAGAGAAATACACAACATTAGTTGGTCGCATAGTTTGTTTATTATGATAAAAATAATAAGGTTATCTTTAAGGATAACCTAATAATTAAAATAATTGTGTGCATTAGGTATTATATATTTATACTTATTAAGAGGAATTATTTTATCATATCACGGGGTTCGTGAATTCTTGAAATTCGTGATAACAAATTTATTCTCATTATATTTAGAGGAGGTTGGGTCTGTAGTACGCAGGTGCTTCACGTTAGCGGATTTAATCAAGTACGCAGCGAGTATTAATAATAATATCATCATCATCATCATCTCAGCCCGTTAACACCCACTGTTGGGTATAGTCCTCCCTTTTGCACGCCAGCTCAATCGGTCCTGTGCGAATTTCATCCACAATCTTCCGGCCACCCCGACAATATCGTCCGACCATCTAGCAGATGGTCTGCCTCGAGGACGTCTCGCTCCTACTGGGTACCACTCAGTAACCACCTTGGTCCATCAGTCGTGCCGCCTAGTAACGTGTCCTGCCCATCTCCATTTTAGGCTCACAATGCGCAGACCGACGTCTATGGCCCTTGTTCGCTGTCGTATCTCCACGTTGGGTATGCGGTCGATGAGGGAAATGCCGAGCGTGGTGCGCTCCATTGCCCGTTGTGCTACTCTGATTTTGTGCATGTATTCCTTTGTGAGCGGCCATATCTCGGCACCGTAAGTAAGTATGGGCAGGACGCATTGGTTATAAACTTTAGTTTTCAGGGTTTGAGGGATTTAAAGACGTCCTTCGGTTTTCCAAACGCGGCACATCCAACTTAATCTTTCTTGCGATCTCCTTGTCTTGGGAAGATCGGCCAAAAGATAAACAGTATCCAAGATAAATGTACTCGTCTACTACATCTAGCCGGGTGTTTTCGAAGAAGATGGTGGGTTGTAGGCCCGGACAGTTGGACATGATCTTGGTTTTGGACTTGGTACTTGTTGTTGTGTGTGACATCTCTAGGCCGATAGCTAGTGAAGCCTCGTGCAGGTCTTGGAGCATAGTCTGGACATCAGCGGAGTTCCTAGCCATGAAAATCAGGTTGTCTGCGAAACGTAAATGCGATATGCGGCGACCATTGACGTTAACACCTCTCTCATCCCAATTGAGTGTCTTCATTACGTCTTCCAGGACACTTGTGAAGAGTTTGGGAGAAATGGTGTCTCCTTGTCTGACAACACGTTTGAACGAGATGAGGCCTGAGGGTTTTTTTTTTATTTTTTTTTTTTATTGTGACTCGGCAAAATGACTGCACCGCGCCTGATGGAAAGTGCGAATACAGTCCAGAGATGAGAGTAACGGATGGAAAACACAAATATCTTCACTCCGTCACTATCATTTTGCCGGTCTGGCCAAATGCTTCTTCACACTACGTTTGAAGGACCCGATGTTATAGAGGGGAGGGAATACATGCGCCGGGAGTTGGTTCCACAATTTGATGGTTCGGCATAAGAACGAATTGCCAAACTTTTTAGTGCGGGACGGTATTGAACTGACCGTCCAACTGTGGCAACGCAGTCCGGCACGGGTGGTCCGCTGATGGAAAGGAGAGGAAGGGATAGGGTTTATGCATGCACACTTGCATAGTCGCGTTCCTGTACAGCTCCCGGAGAATATCCACGTATCGCTTGTCAATGCCACAGCGGTGGAGAGAATGAAATATAGCCCAGTGTTCGACACTGTTGAAAGCCTTCTCATAATCGACGCAGGCGAGACGCAATGGTAGGTCGTATTCGCGGCATCTCTCCATCAGTTATTTGACTGCATGTATGTGGTCCATGGTTGAGTATACATTCCGGAAGCCTGCTTGTTCAGGTGGTTGGTTTTCGTCCAGAGAGTGAGTTAGCCTATTGCACAGGACCTTAGCAAACAACTTATAAATTTGTGAAAGGAGGGTTACCGGGCGATAGTTTTGTAGCTTGGTCTTATCGCCTTTTTTTTGCAGGATCGTGACAGAGGCGTTTTTACATATTTTGGGAGTGACACCTTCCTGGATGACTTTATTATTAGTTTTGCGAGTGGTTTTAGTATCGCTGAACATCCTGCTTGAAGCATTTCTACGTACACTCCATCATCACCAGGAGCTTTGCCTCGTTTCATTCGGCTAAGTGCAAAGCCAACTTCGTCTTCAGTTATTTTGGGAAGCAACTCGTCATCGAAGTGTTGTATTGGTCTTGCTCTTGGATCTTCTCCCTAGTGATTCCGGCTCACTCACTTTAGATGTATAAAGATTTGCATAAAAATCGTCAACAGTGCGAACTATTTCGTCCCGATCCGTTATTATTGTTATGGTTTTGTTGATTAATTTATTGCTTAAGATTTGTTGCTTGTTAATTTTCGTTTGAATGCTTTTGGTCCTTAATGTTCTTTTATGGTTTCTGTAATTATTCTCGTGTTGTGGGATCTAATATCTGTTTTTAAACTTTTCCGGATTAATTTGTTCATCTTCTCTAACTCTCTTTGATCTGATTCTGTATTGATTTTCAAAAGTCTTCTTTGAGCCAATAAAGCCTGGGAGCTGGGACTTAGTTTTTTCTTGCTTGCTTTGGCACCCTTTATATGAATTTTTGGCGTTTCAACTATTATGTGACTCAGTTTCTTATTGAGCAAGTCCATGTTCAAATCTGCCTTTTCCTAATTATATACTGATCACAAATATTTGTGTTTTTTTTTCCAAATTTGTGTACGCTTATTGAACTTAAAAATCAGCGAATGAATGAAATAAATCTGAAAATCAACGCTAAAAAAGCATTGGGTTTTCCAGCAAATACTAAGTTACAAGTTGCAAAAGTTACAAGACGTCCTGTCTGATCGAAGGAATTTTTGTTGGTGTTACATCTTTGCATTAATAATAATTATCTATAACAAAGTAGGAGTAATTTCACAAAAATATATAAATATCATGGTAGTAAAACATCATTCATTACATTACTGTAATATATATTTATATATTACACATATATTACATATATATTTACATATATATTTACGTATATATTTACATATATCCACACGCAAAATAGGCACCTTCACGTCGAGTTGCTGATACCAACCCGTTACACCAAGTACCAAGTACAGTCAATATTATAAAGTTTTTGATTTACTATAGTTGTAAACCTCGTAAATGGTAAATTTTGAATATTGACCAGAATCTTATTACAGAAACATACATTGCCTATTAAAACTCTCTATTAATGTTTAATCTATTGTGTCTTCCGTTAAAAGTCGTCATGTATAGTGTACTTCAATACCCAAGCGTTTATAATGTTGTTTGGTTTTTCAGGGAGATCGACTTCTATCGTATCATTTAAAATGTGGTGCTGCAAGAAGATAGAAGAAGCATTAGATTATTCGGTCCCATCTGATCCTCTTAAATCGAACCCCTGGTGGATCCGAGAGTCAAGAATTAATATTAATATGTTATTCTTGGAAGGTACTCTGATACAGTCAACAAGAAAATGTATTTATATATCTACATGTCAATATTAATGACCTGCCGCAAAAAAAATGATTGTCTGTATAACAATTACAACGTTTGATCACGATTGCTAAACATTTGAATTTAAACCTTCTTTTTCTCTTGAGTGTATTAGCTCAAAAATTCAATCCGTTGGGAGTTGCAAAATTTAGAAAGGAGCAGTTCAAATTTCAAATTGGCGATGGATCAGTGGTAGGGGTGGGAATAACCCACTTTAAATTGTAATTCGTTAAGTAAATTAAGGAAAGCCACATTGCCGACATTAGATTTTACGTAATATTTTGCAGGTGACCTGTCTACCTTGAAAGTATCTTTTTTTTTACAAAAAAATAAGTGCGCATTTGACCTCCATCTCACCTGATGGAAAGTGATGATGAGGTCAACGAAGTAGCATGCACACCTAAATAATACCTATACACTCTTGTCTTGAAAAGATCCAAGTTAAAGCGTTCGGGGAACAAGTCCGCAGGTGGGCATTCCACTCTTTAGCCGCTCGTCATATAAATGTGGAAGCGAAACGCTTTGTGCGAATCCTGGGAATATCTACAACATAGGGGCAGGATCCCAGCACACTTCTGGTTCCCCGATGATGGAAAGGGGAAGGCGGAATCAAATTATGCAATTCCATTGCACACTCTTCGTGATATGTCCTGTAGAATACCGATAAGCAGGCAACTTTACGGCGGTGTTCAAGGTTCTGCAGGTTCGTGTCTACTAATTACGAGTTACCTATAAGTCTCTTGTCACGCTTGTCGATTGAACCCAAGGTGACCAGTTATAATTTAGCAGAGCCATCCCTTAAGTGGCAGCAGTACTCTATACACGACGGATTTGTGATTGGTACAGCTAAAGCAACTGTCCCGGTGTGAAGTAACGACTCACCTTGGAAAAGATGCCAAGCTTCCTGGCTGCATTTTTGGCCATGGATTCAATGTATCTACCGAAGTTCAGATTGGACTACAGGTCCATTCTAAGTCCATGTATCACGAAAGTGGTGAGAGAAAAGAAACTATTATTGATTCTTGAGTTTTGATTGACTGGACTTGATAAGTAGGTAGCGATTTAGGTGGTGGGCACTAAAGGAACCTACCCGTAACGCCCGTAATTTATGTTCTCTGTATGTTTGGCGCACCCTGGACAACAATCGGCGAGTACCTTTCTCCAAATCATTGGCAAATCCTTTCATTGACATATAATATGTCTTGCAGTTCATTACTAGAACCGGCTGGCTAATAATATAAGTTTTGGGCCGCAATAGAGTACTTAGTAGAGACTTAATAGTGGCGAAGCTGCAGAACCTTGAACATCGCCGTAAAGTTACCTGCTTATCGATATTCTATAGGATATATCACGGAGAGTGTGCGATGGAATCGCATAATTTAATTCCGCCTTCCTCTTTCCATCACCGGAGGACTAGCGTAGGCTTGGCTTTCACCCCTATATTGTGGATATTCCAGGGATTCGGCACGAAGCGTTATGCTTCCACATTTACATGGCGAGTGGCTATGAGTTGAATTCTCTGCCTATAGACTTATTCTCTGACTTAGGTCTTTTCAAGGCGATAGTGAATAGACATTATTTAAGTGTACATGCTCCATCGTCGACGTCATCAGCATTTTCTATCAGGTGAGATGGGGGCCAAATGAGCACTTATATTATATGTATATTAAAAAAAACAATAATATAATGTACGCCACATTGACCTAACCGGTGGTACAACATCGATACGATAACAAGAGCTAACCTGAATTGTGTTAGAACAGTCTAACAATACATTACTTACTTTTAATGCCTTGTATTTATTGAGTTTTAACATTGCAATTAATTCGCTTGTGTCATATTGATTTCTTATATACAAACTTAAATCTTTTATCCTCAATTTGTCATCGGCAGGCCATTTCAAGAATATTGCATAAACAGCATTAATTATATCTGTTTCAAGTGGTTTTTTCGATGGACGCAGTGGTTGGTATTCTTTCTTTCTGCAAGTGTACCAAACGTCTGAATTTAGGCTGTCTCTTTGGTAGTACCAGGGCGACGTATTGTAGATTGCCTCGCCATTTATTTCTAGCCATTGTCCTAAGTGAAGAAGTCGCTCTTGAAATATTGATGGTATAGTTCCCTCTTTTGTTGGTCCAACGTTAATCAAGATGTTTCCTTAGGAAAAAAACGAAGTAAATTTTATAAACCAGAACAATGTTCATTTATTTAAAAAAATAGTATCGTAAGGGTATTTAGACGTTCGGTATCATTTATATTACTTTGTTATCAACATCAAAGCGCGGGTTTGAAAATTATATCTGATTTTGGAGTGTGGTATGGTATGGCCTACTAAGGCCAACTATCAACATAAGAATAAAGAAGGCAATAAAGCAATTAGTATTCATTACAATGTCGTAACATTCACAATTTAGATATTTTTGGCAAAATTTTACCTCATTTCACAATCTAGTTGCTGATAGACAACAACTACAAGACCATTTAAAATTTTATGAAAACTGGCATCCCTGCATACGTAATTTTTCTCCGTCTTCAAAAAAGACAGACTATAGAAAATTAGCACGGGCCAAAGTTAACCGAATGATTTTTTTTATAATATTATGTGACGGGATGAACAAGTCGTGCGCCTGGTGTTAAACGACACGCCTATCCATAACAGTTGCAGTGCCACTCAGAGCTTTAAATAGCAAAGATCTTAGCGGCACTGCCACTGCGCTGATCACCCTGACACGTAAGTTGATAAGTCCCATGTGAGTGTAATTTTACTACCACCCTAATGCCAAACAGTAATGCTCACATTACTGCTTGGCGGCAGAAATAGGTAAGGTGTTAGTACTTTCTTGGACGAACTCTACTGATACTAATAATTATTAATAAAAAATAAAAAATCAACACAAGCACTGCTATTTTTCATGAATTAACTAACCTTCACTGGGTTCCCGGAGTAGCAGATTAATTTACTTTCGTTTTTAAACATGGATTTCCGCAAAGTAACGCATGATTTTATTAAATATAGAATCAGGCGTTACTTTATCATTATTCTATTAAATATAAAATCAGGTGTTACTCTATCATTATTTTGTTAAATATAGAATCCGATGTTACATACTGCATAATTGACACTAATGATAAGAAAAATTGAAACACATTTTGTATTCTCAAGAAAACATATTTGTTTAAAATAAATTGGAAAATTACGGTATGTATTCGACGTGAAAGTTATTGGAGTTTATCTTCGATAGAAAACATTGCAATTTCCACGAGTGCTTAATTTTTTTCTTTTATTAAAATTAGGGCGACGTGGAACCAGCTCCCAGGAACGAGAAATTACCTAGTTTTTTCACTTTTATTTATTACTATGACGTAGTAACGTAGTCTTTTTATGTGTAACACAGACTAAGTAAGCAAGCAATCATATTAAATAAATAATGCTTAGCATTCATGTAATAACAGAAAAGTTATTGAAAGGGAAACATTTTTGAGGTTATCTGAAAACGACCCCCAAAGGCACTGCAACTGCTATGGACATTCGTGTACGACATTTTCGTTCCGTCACTTGGCATAATAAATACGTATATATATTATAGTGTTATTTTTGCTTTTAATGCGCGACAAATATTTTGTATGTCGCGTTGTGGGCGCGTTGCGAATCTTTACCTGCACAGCTCACCGTGGACACAATTGTTTCCATCAATTCATCGTCACTATAAACGTCTACGGGTCTCATTTCCCTTCGAAAACCCCACGAAAATTTATCTAAAGATAAAGCATTTTCCCATTTATTTGTTATGACCGACAAGTCTCCTGCAAAAAAAAATAGGTACTCTTAAAAAAATCCTAGTGAACCAACAAAATATTCACACTTTTTAACCGACTTCAAAAAAAGGAAGAGGTTCTCAGTTCGACTGTATGTTGCTTTTATGTATGTTACGCGATACTCTGGTGAACCGATTTTGATGATTTTTTGTTGGACAGAGGGTACCTCAGTAGTGGTCCCATTTAAATTTGAAAAAGATATTCCACCTGTTAAGATGGCAAACTAGGGGATAAATCCGGTTTCGAGTACTTTTCGGTAACCGATTTTAATAAAACATGGCAAATAGATGTATTATGTATTTCTAGTTTCTATTTTGTATGTTTTTGCACGCACTTACTTACCTTGACTACAAAAGTAAGTATTTATTAATTTTAATAATTAATAAAAAGCATCTCGATTATGGTTTTCTTATTTATTAAATTTATTGTTGTCAAGTAATTAATGCGTTTAAATAACTATGAAATCTTAGCATAACGTCCTGTCAAATACTGGTACTCCGATCTCAATGTGCCATAGTCAACTATTGGGACATTAGAAATTTTGCCTGTCAGACACTGGTACAATTTTAGAGGTAGCAGAAAACTGGAATATATTAATAATGCCTGTGATTATTTTAAATTTTATAGTTCCTTGAAGATAAATGACAAATAGTTAACATACCTAGGTAGTCAGTATGACTGATAAATTAAGTATTTTTTTAGCAAAATACGTGATTTCCCTTCTAAAAGCGTCAACTACTGGGACATTTACCTTAATACCCTACGACACATAATAATTAGTGTAACTCTCTGACACAATATGGGTCCACACCTTTTCCAATGGTTGTGACACATTTTTTTTAATGACGGGACGAACGAGTCGTGAATGCCTGATGGTAAGCTACACGCCTGTCCATAACAGTTGCAGTGCCAATCGCAAAAATCTGAGGGACGTTGCCACTGCGCCAGTCACCCTGAGTCACAAGTTAACAGGTCCCATATGCATGTAATTTCAGTAGCACACTTACCCTTCAAAACCGGAACACAGTATTGCTAACATTACTGCTTGGCGGCAGAAATAGGTAAGGTGGCGAGCTCTACTGCTGCTTAAAAGGTTTTATTAAGTCTGTCTGCTTTTCAGCGTTAGCGAGAAGTGTTGTAAGTACGTAAGAAATTAAAATCAGATAGATACATGCCGCCATAGTGATTCGAAGGGAGACATGCTGGGAGGCCAGTATGACGTAGGTCCTATTCTTTTCCTGTACATCTGGTACCAACACAATCTGCGAGTATCTTACGCCGATTAACAAATCCTTTCACCGTGATGGCAAGCATTACAGTATGAGCCATCGATACGATAACTAGAATAAGCAGAAGAGCTCCTCGTTAAAGAGTTCGTCGAAAGAGGTGTTCCCACCTTTCCTATTTCTGCCGCCAAGCAGTAATATCAGTATTACCGCGTTCCGGTTTAGAAGGTTAAGGGCATTGGTGAAATTAAAGGCACAAAGTGGATTTGTCATCTTGTGTCTCAGGGTGACAGGCGCAGCGTCTGTGCCTCTAATATTTTTACAATTTAAAACTGTGAGTGGCAGCGCTACTGCTATGGACAGGCGTGTCCCTGCAACCAGGCCACGGCTTGTTCATTCCGTCATTTAGTATCATAAAAAAAGCTCTGAGCGACATGTAGGTATTGATGCACTAAAATATAATGTAATTGTTAAAACGTTCATAATAAAATTAGTCGAACAATTCAATTCACCAGCTTTTTAACGGAATTTATATCAACTTGTTGCTGCAACGAATTAACTAGGAGCGCTAGAAATGTATTAGTAACGATAATTAATTCCTAGTTAAATTAATTAGTAATGCATTAAATTGAAATTCTCCGTTTGAAAAGTTAAAAGTTAATATAAACGATTAATAATTCAAATAAAATATATACTACTGTAAGTAAATAAGTTATATAAATGAAGTAGCTTACTGGGATTGTATCTGTCCTTACAATTGTAGAAGTCTCCGTGGCGACAATCGCAGTCCGTACCTAATCTATCATTGACTACAATGTCATCTTTAACAGGACTTTTATTGTAGAGCCAGGCTAACAGCTCTGGAGTCCTCCAGTAAGTATAATTTGCGTCCCAGCTTCCATCGCACCACAGTACTGATGGCCTGTACTTTTTAACTAAATATTTAATATCTGGCCAGACCACTTCATCGGTGTAATTTGTAGTCACGAAACCACTATATTTATCATCCAAGAAGAATTTGTTATACCATTCGTATAAAGAATAATAGACACCAAATTTCATATTATGTTTTCTAATTGATTTTGAAAGAACTTGTACAATGTCTTTTCTTGGTCCCACGTCCATAGAATTCCAATAACGACGCTGAGATGGAAACAAGGCGAACCCGTCGTGATGTTTGGTAGTGAGAACCACGTATCTAAAAAAATGTTGCTTACAAGTTGCTTTTTCACATTGGAATTTAAGGTATTTTATAAGATCAAAATGGCGTATATGCGTTTTTTCATCACATCGAACCAATGCTTCAATGCGATTTAAATCCAATAAAAAAAATTTATAATAATAAATAAAGTAGTGAAAATGATTGCACAGGATTAACAGAGCGACAAGAGTATAGAAGAAACATTTCGCTATAGCATCCTACAACCAACCAACTAGCTAATGCGATCCCAAAGAGATTTAATTATAATAATCAATAGTGCATTATTATGTAAGTAAAATTAGTTATTTTTGATACAAGTGCGGAAAGTTAGTCATTTCCACGAGTCTCGAGGCATCTTGGCCCGAGCCAGAGGCGAGGGTCAACACTCGAGACAAGTGAAAATGACAAATCCGCATGTGTATCAAACAACGTTTTTTAATACATTTGCGAAAAACCTACATTGAAAGTAAAATAAAACAGTATTTAAAAAAAACCTCATTTTATTCCTTTGTCAATAACAAAATCAAGTCGTAAAAAAGTTAATGAAAAAGGTGGGAATGTAAACGATGAAAAAAATTAGTACTTTTTTTGGTCGACTTTTTTCAATATGGCAACTGTTGCCAGTATTCAGTCACATTAAAATTACTATTTTATACATTGACTTACAAATAAATGGACGACGGGTCTAATACAAAAACCACGAAAAAAATGTCCCAAGTCAACCTATTCGAAATTTAAATTGTAATGTCATCGCAGTATCGCGCTGTCAGTAGAACAAATGAAGACTAAAGCGGAGTGTCGCGCTCTGTATACGATTTTAGCGCCTTACAAGTGCGGACACTTTTTAGCGCGGACCCGACGTCCATATAATTGTAAGTCAATGATTTTATATTACTTTATTTTCTACATAATCGCTACTAAGGAGCATTTACTTCATAGGTGTAAAAATGCGGTCTCTCCATAGATATAGTATAGTAATGACGAATGACTTACGTCACAAAGCACATAAATATGAAATAAATATACAATCTCTTTAGTTCTATGTTTAAGGCTTAAAACAACAGTAAATTTAAAAAAAACTGGAAAAGTAAAAAGCACTAGTGCGAGAAATCCAACTTTCCGCACGATTTGTAGTGCGAAAAATACCACGTTTTGAGCAACTGTATTAAAAATGAATATTATATAACCTCTCTCTTAGTATTTGTATCTATAGACATTAAGAGTTAAAATCAATTCTATGCCGCAGACGATAAGATAGGTCCAAAATCCAATCCAAAAGTGAACCTTGTTGTGGTCTTCACGTACGTATGTGTTTCAATCCACGGATTGTTATTATCTATGTTAAACGTATTTAAACATTTTTTTAATACAGTTGCTCAAAACGTGGTATTTTTCGTACTACAAATCGTGCCGAAAGTTACATTTTTCGCACTAGTGTTTTTGTTTTTAATTTCCATTTTTTTTAAATTTACTGTTGTTTCAAGTCTTGAACTAAAGAGGTAGTATATTTCATTAATATTTATGTGCTTTGTGACGTAAGTCATTCGTTATTAAAACTTTTATTTACTTACAAACATCTTATTTGTTTAAATTGCACAGGTGTTTTATAAAACAACGGGTTACATTTAAAAATACCAAAATATTTTCCCTAAAGATGGCTGATTGAGTATTAACAATGACCGGAGGTGAGCATTACGCGAGACCGCTGCGCGCCGCGCAATTAAAATAGTAATTTTGATGTGGCTGAATACTGGCAACAGTTGCCATTGTACTCTGAATTTTTATCAGACAAAGAAATAAAATGAGTTTCTTTTTTAAACATTGTTTTATTTTACTTTCAATGCAGTTTTTTAGCAAATGCATTAAAAAACGTCGTTTGATACACGTGAGGATTTGACATTTTCACTTGTCTCGAGTCTTCACACTCGTGAATAATAACTAACTTTCCGCGCTTGTATCAAAAATAACTATTATCTACACACATATCATAAACCCTCTATGATGTGTTCAAAAACAGCAAATTACGACTAGCATAAAGATAAACTGTCTTGTTAGAACAAATTTCTTATCTGTGGAAATGCTATTACTGCTTAATAGTAACAGTAAATCTTAGAGGATGGAAAAAAATAAAGGAAGTAATTAGATTTTATTATTACATTCAAATTTCGAACGTCTCTGAAAAACAAAACAATTTGATTCGACCTCAATTGTAATATCAGTCGAGATGAAGTTTTATTCGTAATGAAATGTCAATAGCAAACAATTTTGACAAATTTCACACGTTACTTGGTATCGAACGATATGATAGTTGGGGCGGACTCTAGTTTGTCTATGAATTAAATAAAAAGTACGGTTGTGTGGCATGCCTGAGAAATTTTTTTGTTTGCCGCCATTTCGCCAGTCGTCCGGTCGTAACATGCGGTTCCTGAACACATCATAAAAAACTTATAATATGTGTATCGATAAAGCAGTACATTAGGCATTTTTTATGAAACGCACACTCGTATTTTAATGTCTTTCATTATGTAACAGTCAGGTAAACTACTTTAAATAAGTGGCTTTACGTATCAAAATAAAAAGTACTCACTTAGCTCCAGATTTAGCAAACAGCTTTGCCCACTCACTAGGTTTAAACAAGTTAGCTGTAAAATATCGTGAGAGGTCTTTATAACGGAAACGAGCACCATAATTTTTCTGCACAAAAGCAACAATTTCTGGATCACCTGAAAAATAAATTATGATTACTGTACTTAGAATAATAACGCATAGAATGATAGTTTCATACCAAACGAACTGTCACAAGTGAGGCAAAAATCAAATTCATGTAGGCTAGTTTTAATAGTAGGTTAATTTTCGGTTTTAGTGAATATTTATATAAAAATACTAGTTGAAACGCATTACTTCCTTGTGGAATGTGATGTAAGTCTCTATTTTATGTTTGTCTGACGTATTTTTACACTCATTTACCGCACATTTCATCATTTTTAGCTAAAGTTCTGGAGCTGTTCGCGGTGCAAGTTGACCTTGAGCACTGAAGGCCCGCCCGCTCGTGTAGGCCCTTTGGGAGCGCTTCAATTTGCCTCACTTATCGTGTGCGCGCTAGGTTTCTATGCGTTATTATTCTAAGTTACTGTAGTTATAAGCAGGTATAATGAATCACTTGCTGATGGACTTACTATAAATGGGTAAAAATTTTCAACTTCATATTGTCTAAATTTAATCTACCTAGTCAAACTTTACTTAATTAACACTTGGACAAGTGTAAATATTGAAAAAGTGTCCGTTGATACTTGTATTGTAATTTATATGAAGTGTATAACTAATATTATAATTATTTATTTATTTTATATTGTTTTCAGGATTTTATTTGATCGGGTAAAGTACATCCTATTGTGAAACAAATTAGCACATTCATTGGAGAACATCCTAATGTGTATTGTATATTTTGTGTAAGATCGTTATTTAATTGTAAATACCTAAACCATTTCATCTAGCAAAACAGTTTTTTCGGCTTTCCTCCTGTAACTCGCCTTAGTTTAGGTATAGTAATTCAATTGATTGAGGAGACATTCGACTCTCGCTGGAGCTTTGAGAAAGAACATTGCCGAACCCGGCCTCGTCTTTGCTTTAAATCAGATGAGATAGAGGTCAATTGAAGAAAGAGAATAGAAAATATAAAAGAGAAAAAGAGAAACATTACGCTCAATCCACTGGTTCCAGAACCATTCGCCTTTAAAACTTGGCACAGAGTATACTCCCCAATGGATGATAATGCCAATCTTAGCTGAATCGTACCAATGGGGCAAAGGACGAGTGTCTAGATCGCTCCACTTCGGCAAATAGATTCGTTCTTTTGGTGTGCTTGTAACATTCGGAATGTCTTTATTAGAGGTAGGTGTTATGTCAGGTATCGTAGTAGTGTTGGCAATTGTTAATAAAACAGACCATAGCAACTCCCTCATTATTTCATCGAAAATGAAGAATGGACTTTAGTGTACCAGTATTAATTCAAAATTTGTCTTTTGTTCTAATTTGTATGCATTAGGTTAATAAATTTTTGACGTGTTAAGCAACAATCGAGTTTATTCAGTGATGTGTTTATTATCAATCAATAGTTATTGTTGTTAGAAGATAACTAAATTATAAATGAAAATCGAAATTTCGAAAAAAGTTAAAATTTTCTTCAAACAAGTTTTCTTGTAATAATTACTCATACAAATTTACTTTATAAAGAATCAGTTTTCCCAACAATAAAATCTTCTTCATGTGTAATAGGTGAGGCTTTGAGCCCTCCACTTTGCTACAATATGGGGGTCTACATCAAAGTTTTGTGAAGTTTTTGTTTTATAATAGAATAAAAAGCATCCATTGCAACGCCACAACTCAAAAGTATACACATTTAAACAACAAATAACGCAAACACAATAAAACCCGACAATATACTTAAATACTGTCATTTGTGTGACTGTGGCAATAGTATGCAAAAGGACGTTATCATAATATACGAAATCTTATTATGTACGAAAGAAAGAAAGCACCGCACAGCGTAGGTAGATATTAAGAAGGCCATTTTTCGGACATGTGGTTGTTATTCCAAAAAAACTATAGATCAAATGATTTAAAACATTGGAGTAGAGATCTCATGTGAACAATGGCTTATTTATGGAAAAAATGATTTTTGAAATGTGCGTAAATTTAATCCGGATAAATGAAAAAACCTACAGTAAAAATCATAGATATAGAAAAAAAGGGGAGATATGTAATGACGCTATGTAAGATCGGGTACCGATGTCGTCACTTTTTAGCTTGTGTGCAATTCAAACTTTACGCTCTATTAACTACTACCATAACTTAAAGATTTTGATTGGGTAGGGCTTAGAATAATAACGCATAGAAAGATAGTTTCATATCAAACGAACTGTCACAAGTGAGGCAAAAATCAAATTCATGTAGGCTAGTTTTAGTAGTAGGTTAATTTTCGGTTTTAGTGAATATTTATATAAAAATACAAGTTGAAACGCGTTACTTCCTTGTGGAATGTGATGTTAGTATCTATTTTATGTTTGTCTGACGTATTTTTACACTCATTTACCGCACATTCCGTCATTTTTAGGTAAAATTCTTGAGCTGTTCGCGGTGCAAGTTGACCTTGAGCACTGACGGCCCGCCCGCTCGTGTAGGCCCTTTGGGAGCGCTTCAATTTGCCTCACTTAGCGTGTGCGGACTAGGTTTCTATGCGTTATCATTCTAAGGGGTAGGGCTTAAAACGTGAAAACGACGTAAAACAATTTTAAAATTTAACAAAATTAAACTTACAGTCACTTAAATAAGAGTTATATTACAATATTTCAGTATTTTTTCATCCTGGTTCAGCCATTCACCAACAGGTGACGTTCTAGTAAAAATACTACTAGTATATAATAGCTAACTATTACCGTTAGATGGCGCTGAAACTCATTTTTAGTTTCACTAAGAACTCACGGAGCGGTTCTCACCCGCGTCTGCCGCAGGACCGCAGCATCTGTAAAATGTAACAGTTAAGTATGCAAAATTAGTAGCACATTTCACGGCGCATTTTACGCCTGTAGTGGTGAGGGTTGCTCGCGGTTGCCGCGGCGGGGTACTAGTAGAACCGCGCAGGACGCGATAACCTGCGCGCTTGGCGGCCGTCGTCGCCCGCACATTTTGGCAGTCGGTTCAGGTGCAATGTGGTGCAGGCGCACGCAGGGTAAATTTTCTATTAACCGCGCGACTTGCAATTAACTCCCACTAACTTCGCAGTCCGTTCCGCAATCGCAACGTTTTCGTGCCCGCAACCGCTGCAGCTACGTGCCCGCACAAACTTAGGGGTAGGGTCGTAAGTATTGAAATAAAACCGCTGTCTAGCAGCACCGGCGGGTGCGGATGGAAACCACTCCGTGAATTGTTAACCTTATTAACCTTAAACTGACGCTACTCAACGAGGGATGTGGTCCTACCTAATCGCTAGTTGGAAACCATGTGGCTGTTTTTAATATTAAAAAAAATATGGTACTGGTGTATTATTAAATTAATATATTAATATAAATTATTATTATTTTCTTAATGGCGGCCACTAGGCTTGGACCAGTGTCAGGTTTATAAGAATAATATAAAAAATATGGCGATCGTCGTCAGTGTAAATTTTTTATTATACGTTACCACGGGTTGCTGAAGCTGTCACTGTCAAGAGTAAACTCGAACCATCAATGAATTTAATAAATTAAATTATGTTGTTTTTTTATTTAGGATTTATGTAATTTTGTATAGTTGTTTCTAATTTATTTTGCATGCACATGTAAAATAAAGCCGATTTTATTTTATTTTTTAAATGCATTTGCTATGGAAATTGAAACAAAGTCAGAAATAGTAATAAGAAAACCAATCTTTCGATTCTCTTGCAGCTTCAATCCAACCTTCTTTAATTTTAAACTCATTGGAAAAACTTAAAAATAAAAATTAAAAATACTCTACGTTTAATCTACGAGTATAATGGAATTTAAATATTTTAAATATCTTAAACACAAAATTTTTTCTTCAAGCAACAGCAACATTCAAATTGACATGAAATTGAAACGGTTGCCCGCCACATTTTGTTATACGCCACGTTGGTTGTGTTAAAGTTACTCGAAACAAAATGTTTAGTAATAATAATAAAATAAAAGAAATCAATTTAACGTGAATGCCTTTCGCTTCGATATTTTAGGGACTTTAATTATAAAAATTATAGTAAGAAATTCAAACATTTCAGTAAAAATTTATTGTCGATAAACATCAGTCTTCGTAAATGAACATCACTATATTTGAGTCTAGAAATTTCTATGGAGACAAAAAGAAAACATTGAATAATAATAGAAATAGTAACTAAAAATGCAAATAGCCGGTGGAATGTTCTCTCACTGGTTTTAAAATTTTTGTTTTCACTCCAATTTTTACAAGTGTATTGCTACAACTTGGCATTTTCACGTTTTACGAGAGATCTTGTATGTAAAACGATCGCCATGTCACTGTGGCGATGTTTGTAGGCGTGTCACCGCGATATGGTCATTTTGACCATATCTATCGACATATCGATCGATTTTGATCGATTTTGACATATCGATCGACGCGAACCACACCCCCATACCATATCACCCCTTTTTTTCTATATCCATGGTATAAAAACCACTGCAAAAAATTGGCATACATACGTCGAGGTTGCACCTTAAGGCTGAGATTTATGAAACCAAATTTGAAACCAAACAAAAATGGCGAACTAAGCAAGTTTATTATTTAAATTACTTCTATATAACGAATTTTACCAAAGTTTAAACAAGAAATTACGAAGTAAACTCAAAGTTGAATTTCATTAGGCAAAGATTTGCTAAGTAAAAGTTTATTTTATAAATCTATCTCAGATCTTTTACGAAGCTCGTAATTTCAGACGTGATTCAAAGATTACTATTTATTATTTTTCATTTCAATTTTTTTTTCTCAAAATTCTGCCGTATTTGGTTAGAGTTAGAGATATTTACATTATTATGGAGATCTCATATTCTTTATTGCCTCCCAAAAAACTAAATTCCAATCTCATTGCGTCTGTAAGTTATAACCAATTTATTTGTTTAGTGTTGTTACTTTCATAATATAGTAATATCCGGATATTATAAAACGATGGGGTTAGTTTTTTTTAAAAGAAAATTAAGAATTTCAACGTCGTTTCAAAATCAAGGTTTCTTTAGCTCATTTCTATTGCTGCTGAGATTTTGAAATAAGGCTAGGTAGGTTTCAGTAATTATATTGCGGTAAAGATACTTCATCTGTTTCTTGTTCCTTGTATTTTATTGTAGAGCAGAAATGCAAGACAGCGACGTCCGCCATGAACACAAGTAGAATTCAGAAAGTAGACATAAATGGTGTAATTTCTTTGGGTTCTCCGCTAAAAATGGGTGTTCCGCAGGGCTCAATACTTGGACCGTTCTTATTTCTCATTTATATTAATGATCTACCATTCTTTGTTAAGGACCTTTGCGACATAGTATTGTTTGGTGACGAGACATCCTTGATTTTTAAAATAGGCAGACATCACATTAACTATGATAATATTAACGATACCCTTTCAAAGGTAGTTTATTGGTTTAATGTTAACAAATTTGCTCAATGCCAAGAAGACAAAGTGTGTTAAATTTGAATTACCTAATGTAAAATAGACTAGTCCAAGCATAGAAATAAATGGAGAAAAGGTAGACTTTGTTTATAAAGCTGTATTTTTGGGAGTGACCTTAGATAGTAAACTTCAATGGTTTCCATATATATATTCCTTAGCTAGCAGATTAAGCTCTGCTGCATACGCAGTCCGTAAAATACGTGAGCTTACCGATTTTGCTACTGCTAGACTAGTTTACTTTAGTTACTTCCATTGTATAATGTCCTACGGGATTCTCATGTGTGATAAAGCGGTAGATATACAAACCATATTTGTGTTGCAAAAACGAGCGATTCGTTCTGTGTACCGTTTAGGTTCTCGGGTTTCTCTCAGAGAAGAGTTTAAGGAGACTGGTATCATGACTGTGGCATCGCAGTACATTTACTCAAATATTTTGTATGCCCGTAAAAATATACATAATTTCATTAAGAAAGAAGATATTCATAATATTAACCTTAGAACTAAGTCCAACTTCATGGTATCACGATTTCGTTTAACTAAGGTGAACGATTCTTTTATGGGGAACTGTATACTTTTTTACAACAAGATTCCGGAGAATATATTAAGATTATCATTTCCTAAGTTTAAAACTTACATTAAAAGTATTTTAATTGAAAAGTCATTTTACAAAAATGAAGAGTATGTTTTAGATAAGGAAGTATGGAAAGACAACAATAGTCTACATTCCACACAATTATGATTCAAAGTGCATTCCATAGCATTTAAATTTAGTTGTTTATTTTTGAATCACTCTCTGAA